TGTGTGTGTGTGTGTGTGTGTGTGTGTGTGTGTGTGTGTGTGTGTGTGTGTGTGTGTGTGTGTGTGTGTGTGTGTGTGTGTGTGGTGTGTGTGTGTGTGTGTGTGTGTGTGTGTGTGTGTGTGTGTGTGTGTGTGTGTGTGTGTGTGTGTGTGTGTGTGTGTGTGTGTGTGTGTGTGTGTGTGTGTGTGTGTGTGTGTGTGTGTGTGTGTGTGTGTGTGTGTGTGTGTGTGTGTGTGTGTGTGTGTGTGTGTGTGTGTGTGTGTGTGTGTGTGTGTGTGTGGTGTTATTTGCCTTTGTCTGTCGATGTCTTTTCTCGAACTTCCTGGTTAAGGGAAAGGAAAAAGAAGGAAGGAAGAGGATGCGAAAGGATGAGAAAAGAGGAGGGAGGAGGAGGAGGAGGAGGAGGAGGAGGAGGAGGAGGAGGAGGAGGAGGAGGAAGAAGAAGGAGAAGAAGAAGAAGAAGAAGAAGAAGAAGAAGAAGAAGAAGAAGAAGAAGAAGAAGAAGAAGAAGAAGAAGAACAAGAACAAGAAGAAGAAGAAGAAAAAAAAAGAAAGAGGAGAAGAAAAAAAAAACAGAACGAAAGAAAGTACGACTAGGAATCTAAAAACGAACAAAGAAAATAACAACAACAACAACAACAACAACAACAAATCAAAAAAACAAAAGAACAAGCGAACAAGGAAAAAATTCCCGCAAGAAGAGTACACTGCTCACGGCCCACTGCGCGCGCTTGCATGTGCTTCTGCCGCCTGTTTGCCCGAGCGACTGGAACCACGAGAGCCAAGATCCAGGAACCGGTCGGCGAAAAGGGAAATTGAGGTGTGTGTGTGCGTGTGGATGTACGTATGTGTGTAGGTGTATGTGCGTATCTTTTATTTTTTTTTTATTGTACGTATTTTTTTATAAACACACAAACACATACATAAATACGAATACATATATGTATATATACATATATACACACACACACACACACTATATATTATATATATATATATATATATATATATATATATATATATATATATATATATATATATATATAATATATATTTATTTATATTTATTTATTTATATATATATATATATATATATATATATATATATATATATATATATATATATATATATATATATATATATATATATATATGTATATATGTATACATAGATATCTAAAAACAATGAAAGCTTTAGCCTGAACCTTTTCCGTGTTCTAAGTTCGCAAACCTCGCCTACACGATCAAACAAGCAACCACCCCCCCCCTCTCCCCCACCCACTCTCTCAGAAATACCCCACTCCCACCCCCTCTCATTCCCCCCCCCACCACCCACTCTCATTCAGAAATACCCCCCCCACTCCACCCCCACCCCAGCGTCCGTGACTGCTTCAAAGGGCGCCTCCACAGCTCTCGCCCTCTGACGGAGGCGGTGCAGAGGGCGAGAACACTTCCTCCTTCCTCCCCCACCCCACCCCACCCCATCCCCGGCGTCTGCGGATGGTGATGATCGTGAGGGCGACGGTCTTCACTGTCCCTTCACTATCCTCATTATATCCCTTTGCTATCTTCTTACTATCCCCTTCACTGTCTTTTCGCTATCCCTATCCTATATCTTCACTATCTCTTATCTATCTTTTAACCATTCTTTCACTGCCTCTTCACTATCTTTTAAGTAGCCCTTTACTCTCTCTTCACTACCCCTATCTCCTATCACTTCACTATCTTTTCACTAAAAACACGTGATCTTTTTCACTATTCACACGCCATCTGTTCACTATCGCTCCACTATCCATACGCCAGTTTCATTATTCACTATCAATCTACTGTCTCCTCACTATCCCTCCACGATGCCCCCACTATCCTTTCACTATCCCTTCACACCATATTTCACTATAGCTATCCGGCCCCCTACCCCCCTCCATTATAGCTATTGATTAGTGATGATAATTATGAATCTTTGTTCTTGTCGTTTGTATCAACTGCACGCATTTTTGTTTTGTTTGTTTGTTTGCGACTACACAAAGGCACAAGCATGGACACACAAGCACCCCGTATGAAAGTGCAAATACACACATGAATATATACATGCGCGAACATGTGTATACACGTAAGCGATACTCGTGTCGCTTACGTGTATACACATGTTGACAAGTGAGTGAGTGTGAGTGTGTGCGTGTGCGTGTGTGTGCGTGTGCGTCCATTTGTGTGAGCGTCTGACTGCGTGCATGTGCGTGTACATGCGTGTGCGTACATGTGCGAGCATGTGCGCGCGCGCGCTCGCCTGCCTCCGTCCCTGTACATTACAAGTGTACCTATATCCATCTCTATACGTATGTGTTAATACGCGTATACGACAAATACACCCTCATGTGCCTGCCCGTACACAACAAGCCCGCCTGTGTATACATGTGTTCGAGTGACTTTTGAGCGAGTGGGAATGACAGGAGCGACTCACCGCCGGGTGTGAGTGGGTCGGCCCGTTAGATTCCCGCGGCC